ATATCTGATATCAAACCACTTCCTTCTATGCCAAAAAATCCATATAAAGGTAACTTTCGGTCATTTTGCACCTGCATTCTAGCAACAGCATATCGTCTGCACGTCAAATCATTACGTCATTTGTATAAGTTCTGACTGCCGAGCGGATACTTCAGTCTCAAACCGAATAATGGATTTTGATCAGATTATGATACAGGGCAGCAAATGCAATAAAGTTTAATTATGATACAGGGCAAGTGTTACTTAAGCCGCCAACGGCATATTTGGACGGCATTGGCCCTCGGGCCAATATTTTACTATGTGTGCCGATATCACATGCCCTGTAAAACCCTATAATTAATGCCATCTTAATATATTTTCTTCTTTTTAGATATGGATCTCCCTGATCACGGTTTCTTGAGACATGTATTTAAAGAGTCTGATCGTCAATTTTGATGCTTTTACCCTGCTCCCGGCAAAGTTCAGGGGTTATCTTACAAGCACACATTTCAACACCGTCCTCATTAACACGCTTAAACTTTTTTTCATGCATAGTGTGGTTTTCGATTCAAATGGGGAAAATAAATATCTGTATTTGTCAGAAATAACAATGAAACTGCATAGCTGAATCTGAAAATTTTGAATAAATATCATAAACAGTACATTATCAGCAAAATAAAATGGCATAATCGATAAACAGACGTAAAAATTAGACAAAAATATCAAAAATATCAAGTTTACATTCTAATTTGCTCATTCCTTTTTGCAATACTGTGTACACTTTAGTTGAGCTAATGTGCAATACTCGTTACAATAAAAATCAATACCCGGTACACTTTCTTGTATCTGTTTTATCCTGTATCTTTTTGTACTTTTACACTTTTTGTCAGAAATTTGGACCAAGCTTACTTAGATTATGAATATAAAAAAAAGATCGATTCAATTGTTTTTATCTTGGTAATATAATCGTTTCTAACGATTCTACAGTATCGCGGTCAATATTTTCTAGTGAGCAGCCGATCGTTTAGGGATAGTTTAATCAACTTTGCAAATACCTGTTATACTTTGATGTATTTTAGAGCTACAAAAAATATCTCTAGATATATAAAACCCGTTGAGATAAATGAAATAGCCATTTGTTTAGAAAATATCGTATCTGAAGTAACCATTGTTCGCCGTTCAAAGTCGCGAAATGGGATGAAAGTTCTCATAATAACGAGCAATATCCGGGGTACGGTATACCGCAGTGACAATATCACTTGAAATAGTATTATTTAGAAAAGAAGCAATTATTTAATTTTTATCTTGCGCTTTTCTTACTAGTTAACACAAAAAGAACAACTGATGACATTTTTATCAAAACTAAAGTCCTGCCTGGTATTACAGTAGCAGTACCACTGTTTAAGACAGTAATGCAGTACAAGTAGAAGCAGCATTGTGTACGTGTAATTCAGTTCAAGTTCTTGCAAAATCACCGCAAAACGTACTGCAGTACTAGTAATGCAGCTCTGTTCTCGAGATTGACATTCTTGAAATATTTTAGCTTATATGAAGGCATGCAGCTTTAAGGTAACATATTTTGATAATATACTTTTGAGTTTTGCGGCTTTGTCAGTTTTTAAGCTCTTTGTTAAATATTTAGCTCTTATCTTGTTTATTGGACGTAAATTTGTTGTTTTTCTTTAGATTAAGAGATATATAACGGCAGAATAGGGCCGGAAATCGGACGCAAAATGAATAATGGCTTCAGCCCGAGGGCATTATTCATATCAGGGCCGATTATCACTTTCTAGCATAACTATTCATTTATACACTTCACGGATCTAAAGTATCATAAAAAATACTTTGACATTTCTTTCGTAGCACTTCCTGTCTCTGTGTTGGTGCGCCATAAAACGAAACAAACTAACAATGAACTATCATGCCCTGAAATTTCAGTTGTGTCAATAATGTTCTTATTATTTAATTTTTAGACAAGGCATATTGAATTAAATAATGAAAGTATTGGTTAGCAAAATATAGAGTTTATGATAATATTGTAAGTTGATGATTATTACCATTGACTTTTATTAACACTAGCACATAACACTTGTATCATGCTCCATGGTCATAACCCAATAATAAAACAATACACATGTGTGAAAAATATACTTTAACTGATATCCTACCATTCTGCTAATATACATAGTTTACAACATGTTGTTAGTAAATAATTTTATTTAATCAATATCCGTCATTGTACTCTACGCTTAACTTCTCTACTCTATTCCTCTCTACACTATGCTACTGTTTTGTATTATATTGCATTGTATTGTATTATATTGTATTGTATTGTATTAAAATGATGTACTTATATTTTGTGTTATACTACAGGCTTATTAACCTAATTTTTAATACAAAATGTGGATTTGGAAATATAAAATTCTATTCACACTAATGTGTGCGTGTTTTGTGGAACACAACCACTTGTCGCGTTATATTACGGTGTTTGTGTACTGATAATATCATTATTACACGCTCGTAAACCAAAACAAAAACATGTTAAACTAGACAAACATAGACGAGTCAATACAAATGTATAAAGTTACAAGTATACAAAGAAAAAAATAAACTTAATATTTAAGCTTTTTATCGTTGCGTTTTGTTATGAAAGATTTTTTTTCCAAGTGGGTTATTCATTAATCCTTGCGAAATATACTTTTGCTTCCCTTCCATATGCGTATTTTATATTCTGATTAATGTTAAACAAATCGAATGCAAGAACAGGAAGGATAAAGATCTTTTGAATAGGAATACAACATTGGACATGCTGATATAATATGTGCATAGTATTGTTTAAATATAAATCAGGCTATCTATATCAAGACGTGTTTACGTTACTTATATAGGCCAACGATTACATAACAATTAAACAAATGAACCGCAAATGGAGATTTATCCCATCTTATCCATCTTAAATTATATACAATCAAAATGAAAAACATCTTGATTTCTAAGATCTCTACAACAAATTAATTTACGTTAATTTAATAAATTTAAACATGCACATGAATTTTCATTGCATACCGAAAACATATTTTATACAAATTTCTATATTTCGTAAGCAGTTTTGCACGTTGTGTATAACCGCATAGATACCTACTAAAATGTAAATGTTATAATAGTCAAAGAATTGAATCTTTATATATGTATAGAACTTTTGCAATGATCAGTTTATACTTAATTAATTTCTTACACGTGTTTAATTACCAAAGAAACAAAATTATATCTAAACATTTTCGCTGAAATATAGTTTCTATAAGTAATGCAGCAAGTTTCCATAATTTCGGTGGCTCTTACCCCATAATTGTTACGTTAGGGGACATTTACGCCCGTTCTTAAAACATTTTAAGACCCTACCTTGCTTAAACTTTAAAGGGCGGACATTTGTCCTTTCCTTTCCCTCCCTTGTTTGAATTTTCCGTCAGAAATAGTGCACTTGTACAATATGAGAAGTCGCCTTATGAATTTTCATGTAATTTTGTTGTGATTAATGCTTCCGAGGGATCACTTTGTTTCAAGATTTCTATAACCATTAGAATGTCGGTGTCATTTAAGCTCAATAGAGAAATAAGGAATTTCATTTTTAATGGTTTGTTTATGTTTTATAAAGTCAAAAATAAGTAGCATGCAATGATTGTATGTTTCCCAATAACTATTACATTGTATTTTCAGATTTTATAATGTTCAAGTTATTTTTTATTAAGAATAATACAAGTTATATATCTCACCTGTAATAATTCTTTTACAAATATGATATTTTAGAGGTAAATAAAGCCAAGTATTAACGTCCTTAATACCTATGCCGGAAATAAAGTGTCAAGACAGTGTTTTATTATCGACGCTAATCTTTGTTCTCGCCCTTTTAAGAAACAGACAGTTGTCATTATTACCCCTTACTTTTTTCATGTTTATTTCCCGTAGATTACTGGGAATTATTATCACTGTTAAAGCAAGTGTAAACTTGATACTGATACTTTTTAACTGTATGAAAATCTGGACATATGTTTTTTGTTCTTTTTTGTGTGTTTCTTTTCAACTTGCAAGGTTAGTATATTTGAGTCATTGTTAATCTTGGTTCAGTTTTGATACAGTTAGATATAGTTGAAATTTTCAAATGATTCATATTTTCGGTTTGCGAGTAACTAACGCCTCGGGTAACAGATGATATTTTTACTGTTACCAACAAACCATATTGTTATTCATACATTTTGTATAATGTAAACAAATATATGTTATTCAGCTTTATCCTCCTCCGATTAACTTAGAAAACATGATAACACAAAATTAATATGGGAAAATGTTGTTTTATCGTTGTTCAAATTGATAAATGACCTATATAATTCTTTGTGAGAATACTTTTAGTATGAACGTGTGTGATGTCAAGTCACAAATCTAGCTCTTAAAGCCCCGATTTTTTATTCGACTGTTAATCTCAAGTCATTTTCGGAATTTCTTAGGGTCAGGTTTTGTCTTGGGTACAGTTATTAATTTTTTCTGAGTTTATAAATCTTCAATGCTAAGCTTTGTTGATTGAGATTGATTAGGTCATAAAATTAAAAAAAGTTTGTTAGCAAGTGACTTCAGTTCAACCATCTTGAACGACACTAAGAGTTGATAACGTCATTTTGCACGGGCGCTCATTTACTCGCACATTATGGAAAAATAATGCCGAGTAGCAAGGCGGCCGAAATTGCAAAATAATCTAGATCTTGCCAAAATGGCATTGAAATACCTTTAATTTTGTTACTGTATACAGACATTAAAGTTCATGCAACTTTTGTTTTGGATGTCATCGGTTTTTGTTGTTTACAAGTGTTAACCATAAAAATCGACAGGTGAAATTTCGATTACTTCAGGGCCTATTGGTAGTGCAAAATAAAATGCTCCATTTTGGTAGTGCAAAATAAAATGCTCCATTTTCAAATCGATAAAACTTTTTTAACACCCCTTTTCAAGCTAACGTTACCATTTGTGTCATTATAATACGGATGGCTAGTTTTATATATTAAAGTCCTGTAAGAGAACGGTTATTTGTTTTGAAGTGAATTTAAAACATACTAAAAGGAAATAATTTTCTTCAAAATATATCACAGGTACGTCATTCAATTATAAACTTTATACAATGTATCTTTATAGCAAAATGGTTTGTGTTGTTTTATTGGAAGTATCGATGTTAATAGTTAATGTCGTTGTAGGCTGTGGTTTGATAATGTGCTACAATCAGAAATGACAATGAATTATAGAAAACTTCAGACGATTTTAAAAAAGTTAAGAAAACATTTTAATCTTTTGAACTGCTAGCACCCACTGATTCTATCAATCAATACGACATGTGAAAACCAAGAATATTAGACACACCTATTCCATCTGTACGTTTTTTGCGTTTTTAATTTTTTTTTGAGGGTGGGGGGTAATTTTTTTGTATTCAGACGTTAGGTTTCTTTACTTTTTGGTATATATAACTTCTGGTGTACAGGTAATACATTTGCAGTAAATTTATAAACCAAATGTTAAGAATGGTACAATACAGTTTACTTTTCCTATTGTTCAAGTTGATGTAATCTGCACACGGTGGCTACTATCAGAATAATGATATGCTGTTATATTTCCTTTTTTTTTGTTGTTGTTAAACTTTTTTTTGTTAAACAACTAATCGTGTACGTATAGAGACTTTCTCATACTTTCATTTCACTAGCCTTGATCAGAGAAAATAGAATTTTGTAATGGCCTTCAAAAAAAAAATTGCTGTCAGTTTGCCAAAAGCTTAACTGTGATTTTGGTAAAAGGTCAACATCGATCGTGCCTTTACAATGTCGTCCATCGCCCTATCTACACCCGACAATGCAATGCGAAGATGCATCGCAACAATGTTAGTCGAAGCTCGACAATGCGAAGCGAGGTTCATTAATATCGAACAAATAACGAGTTGTCGAATATTGTATCAAATATGTTTACATTCGTGATAATTTTTATGTATTTCTGGTGAACTCGAGATTCGACAATGCAATATGATAATTGACAATGCTTTTTCAAAATGTTGCATTAAATTTATGATACAGTTTAAAGTGGTGGATAAAAATAACGATTAAAGATGTTCTTCAAAAATCTTTATAATTACATAAACACATAAAATATGGTTGTTTGTGGCAAAATAAATATACATTTATAAAAAATGTGTGAATTTTGTACGGAGATTTGCATAAGATATTGAGCATGCATTAGATTATTCAATGTCGAGCTGAAATGATGAGAAAGTAAAACAATCAGACGAGTGTAAACAAGTGTTGGTGACGTGAATTATTCTGGTACTATTAGAGGTATAACCATCCTAAAATTGAGGAAAAACTAAATTTCTAAAATCGCCCAAAATTATAAATGTTCAAGCTCGGTTTGAATGAGCCTGTTCATGAATGTTTTTGTTTTATTCACATATTTTGTATGTCAGAATAGAACATAAAAGTTAGTTAGTTATATAATTAAATTCAGTAGCAGAAATGAACCTTCACATCAGTGTTGTTATTGTTTTCTGGTCCTACGGGATCATTGAGTTCAGCACTTTTAGGTGTTGAGGATGTTGCACTGTTTCATAATCCCTCATGTACAAACTCAATGATACCGAGTTTGCAATTTTCATGTACGTTTGCTGTTTTTAATGTTTCCGAGGGATCATCTTATTTCCAGACATTTATACATCACAAAAGCAGGTGTCAAATGCTGTGTGGCAGCCGTAAAAGAATGCCTCGTACTTCACTTCAGTGTTGTTATATTTGTCTGGTCCTACAGGATCAATGAGTCCAGCACTTTTAAGTGTTGAGAATTGAGTATTGCTCAAGCCAGTGCTAGGGGCATGAGGGATGTTGAGCTGTTTCATTATCCCTCATGTACAGACTCAAACCTAGTCTGCAAGATCCATGTAATTTTGCTATTTTTAATGCTTCTAAGGGATCACTTTTTCCAGATATTTTCATTAATTAATTTTAAGACAGGTAAACAATAAATTATGTGATGTTTTGTAAATGTATATACATTATTTAATATAAACTGCACTTTTATACTGTTTTTCAATATCAAAACAATATTACTGTTTTACAATACAAAAATATACATAACATTATTATGGACGTACTTCAAAAAATATAATTAGATTTTTACATGTTGCTTCTTTAAACCTTAGACATTCTTAATCATAACTTTTTTTTTTTATTGTCTTTTTTAAATAAACTGTTTAAATAGCTTTTAACTATTTATTGAAAAGATCCGTGTGTATGGGTAAACACAAGGCACGCGTTCGAGAAATAGGTCAACGACTAGAATTAAAACAAATCATTTCATTTTTCTTACTAGTGTTTTAATATAACATATGTACTAAACCGTTTAATAAGTATTAGAATAGACAAAGTAAACTATCATTCACGTGATATGAAAACATATATACACATTCTTTGGACAAAACGTGATTTAAATTCTGCGGCTCATCTTATCAAAGTCTTAGTCACATTACTATACCTATTTCATTTGCATGTACACATTCGCATTAAAATTTTGTTTATCGTCGTCACCGCAAAACTTTATAGTAATTTCAAACAATTATATTGTTTGCTTGAAATGACGTTTGAAAAATATACCCCGGTAAAATTTAATAAAATTGATAGAAGTTTATCGTAAATCAGACAATAATTAATGTATACGACGATTAATTAGCAGTATAAGGGTTAAAATGGTTTTAATGATTTAGTGGTAAACAAACCTTTTAGCGTACAGGCAAACTCTATGATGTTTAAATATTTTTATTCATAAATTGGCATCCTTACAAGCACATATTACATACTTAGCCGAAAGCAATGTATAACTCGATGACCCGCTAACCGTTATAATCCGTAAGTCGTTATTACTTTAGAGGAAACAGGTCATGATGTAGGACACATATCGTTAAGAAAACATGGAAGATATTCTGCGGTTTTTATTTCTGCGGCGCTAAAACTGACCGCAGAAAACACAGAAATAAAGTCACCGCAGAAAAAAACACTTATACGGTACGCAGTGTCATATCATTTAGATGTTAAAATATTAACTGTAAACTGTTCGTATTTTATTTTCGTCCAAATTCAATACTAGATTTGTTGACAACCTTGAATAAAACAATATATATTGTTCGCCTGAGGCTCGTATTAAACAATTTTATACAACTCCTTCTAAAACTTTGAAATCAAATCTACACTCATTCAATATCCTCTATATCAAACCATTTAACTTGGCTGGGCGCATTTTGATTATAATTACAGTCATTTTTGTTTTGAGCAATGCAGAGGTTAAAAGACAGAAATACAAAGATACTTTTTTTCTTCGCATTTCTATACACACAAAAAATACATAATACTGTGGCAATGCCTTTCATGTGGGCCCGAGGAGACAAAACAGCCACATCAAGCAATGCTTGCAATATGACGCATAACACAGGATGACAGAAGAGTCCATGTGATGATTACAATGAAACATTTTAATATCCAATACCATCGAAAATATTAAGATAATGAGACAAGTGTATGCTATGATGAGCTTACTAGGTATGATTCTGCATGAAAGCATAACTTATGTAACCTGTAATTTTTAAAACATTCAAACCTGTTAAAATGTCCCCTTGTGGCTGTGTGGTTGACTTTAAGGTTTGAGGCATCAGAATCGCAACCACTGTTTATCCCTGCGTAAAAGCAAGAGACGACTAAATGGGTTCGAAAGTCTTAGCTCCAGTAAGTGATGTGGTTTTGAACGTGGTGTTATTAAGATTTGTCAACCATACTGACTTTAAAACAACAATTATTGATTAAAACGGTAGTGGATGGTTCTAGTGTGCTAAGAAACGTGTGGACATTCGCTATACGCAAAAAAGGGCAAGTTTGCTTCTATTCGTAGCGTGTTTGCACACTCTCTGCTACGGAAATTTATGCTTGAATGTTCTCAAAATCGACAAAGCATTAAAACAACATATTTTTCATATCTACCGATAGAAATCTGACAATGTGATGCATACATTGTGCTTATGATTATTGAAATACGATACCTATTTCTTGTAAAAATCGCCAAAAGTTTATGTTTCCTTCCCCTCCAAAGGGTGAAGGTCACTGGTTTTGTTCACATTCGTGGTCACAGATTATTTCATGTAGAAACCCCTTGCAAATTCTATTTAATATTATATAATTTTAAATTGTGACATTAAATTAAAGTTGGTAATATTTGTATAGATAGTTTTAAAACATTTTTAGTGTCATTGCAATTCAAATGTTTCATCCTCCAAACATTTTAAATGATATTATCTTTTGTTGTTTTGTTATGCTATTTTGTTAATTGTACTAAAATGAAATTGTTAACTTTTTCAATAAACTTCCAACTGATGATCCTCCTATACAGATGAAAGTTATAGATAAAATTAGGACAATTTGTTTAACTTTGGACGAATCAGGTTAAATGTACTCCTTCATCTTGGAAATATATATATAAATGCATTTCATCGATTTGAAATAAGTACCATTTATTCAAATTGTATTCATTTGTTTCTTTCAGGACTTGTAAAATTATACTCAAGGATAAAAAATCATGAGTGAGCATGTTAAATCGTTTATTGTGAAACATGGAAACGAGAAGGTGCAGATTGCTCACAAGTCACCAGAGAAGTTTATTGAACGATGTATGTATAATTCTGATAACACCATTTGGATATTAGCTCAATATTTCGTAGTTTGTTTGAACATAATACTATATTTTATTTTCTACATAATAGTACAATCACAAAAATGCTTTAGGGGAGGAATACGATTAAAGTTATTGAAGTTTTGTTCCCATTAAAACTTCTCAAAAGCCTTATATTAGCTCCTATATACCTGCCATCATCAAAATCACTAAGAGCAAGCAATTGTCTATTACATTGTCGCCAATTTTTAAAAAAAATCTATAGAAATTTCTATATGAAGTAAATTGCATAATTATATACTTGTCTCGGTGTACCCAAGTACAAACACTTTATTATTGGCCCAAAAGACACTTGCAAATTGTGAATATTGGCCAAATCAAACCATAATCATATTGAAAATACAGACTTATGAGTTCGTCAAATTGTGTGAATTTTAGTTTCGAGGGTGCCTTATTAGCACAACTTTGTTAATTCTTGTAAGAAGGTAATATATTTCAAATGGGTTTTTAGAATTCACTAACCGCACATATAATCATTTGTTAAGATTACTAACATTCTTAAATATACACGTTATTTTTGTCGTTTTGTTCTGTGCATTTGTCATCAGTCTTCTTTGTTTGTAGGCAAACATAATTTTCGAATTGATGATAAGACTACATTGACGTTTAAACTACCAGATAGCGAGATCAGTGTTGACATAGAAAGCATTGAAATATTGCCTAATAAATCGGAGTTGCATCTGACCCCTATATGTATGGTGAAATTATTCGAATTATGAAACAGAATATTATAATTGTAATTTGCATTAAATGTATTATTTGATGATCCGGCATTAAATAACCTTTGGTTTTGAAATTTTATATATCAATTATTAATTTTCCTTTCTCAACATTTAACAGCTTTTTATTAGTTTCTAAATAAAGAATTGTACAGTTTGTTAAGACCCTTGAGTTTGTATGGCCGTGTATACAACTTTTTTCTAATGTTATCTTAGCGTCACTCAAGCATGAACACCTAAATTAACATTTAAATAACAGATGATAAACTAATTTTATTATATTAAAGGCAATATTGAATCCGATTCGTCAGATACAGAGGAAGGACAAGTGAAAAAATATTCACGTAAGTTTGATTAAATTTAGTATTTCCTCGTTTATGCTGTTATGCATACGAAAATTTCATACATTTATCGTGACAATTTGCATGTGTATAAAATTATAAAAAAAACTGGAAAAGGGGTGATCATTTGGAAGCATGAACAAAATAATTTGAAAATTTCAGACTAGCACGGGTTTAAGTGGTATTCAGGCTTCAAAACTTACATACTGGAAACAATGAACCTAAAGGACAAAATAAATCTAGAACAGCACTGAAGTGAAGTACGGGACAAAATTAAAGCACCACACGGAACGGCAAACGAAATTATTTAATTAAAAAAACAAAGACAAACAATACTAATAATAATAATTCACAGAACAACACATATTTCATATTGTCTTCGTTAAATAAGTTGGTTTAATATCTTAATTAAATAATCATATTGAATTGAAGCTTAATTTTTTAACAACAAATAATATATAAGATTTTCGCTTCTTTTTTAAGGTAAAAATCAGGACCTCAATGATACAGAAACATTTGAAGTCGCGGGAAGAGGTAAAATAACTTTACATCATATTGCTTTATTTCTTTTCATTATAACATTACCATCACGTTTTACTCGTATTAACATACTAACGATTTGTAATGTCTCAATTTTGCCGTTTCAAAAGAATAATACTTTTTTACATTACAACATTTCCGAAGAAACAATTCACATAAACAATTCGATTTAATCTAAATGATTAACTTATTTGTTTTAAATAATAGTTTACTAATAAATAACCGATGCAATGCTGAAAGTAAGTAAAACACTTGAATTTTTCTCTATCAAATAACGCATTCAGGCTCTTTCAAATTTGAACGACCCTCAATGATGCATTCGATTCTAACATAAGAATCTCCGTAAACAAGCATTAAAATGACAAATAGTGTGGCGTACATTTACCAAGATTTTTTTAAATGTGGAAAATTAAAACAATATACATGTATGTACATTTGAATAAGATATCTGATAATATTCTTCATTTTCGCTTATTTATTTCAGAACGTAAACAAGACAAAAACAAATGTAAGCAAACATTTGTCATTTACGTGACTTGAATATTTATAGAAGCCGTACATAAAAAGATATTTGCATTTTTCATTATAGCGTACCTTAATAGAGGTCATACTTTTAAACTTTCTAACGTTTATATCATTACATTTTCATGAATAAACAAAACTAAATAAAATGTTTATTATTTTACAGTTTTGGACTTGATTTACTGGAGTGATGCACAACAATCAATCCTAGTTCTAGGCGGAATATTAGCTTTGCTTTATTATGTATCGATAAACAATGTTATGGCGGTGATTTTTCACGTTACACTTTTATTAAGCTTACTGACAATATGGACACGTGCCTTCGTCAGAATACTAAAAATAAAGCGAATGGACACGTTAAATCTGCAAAGGTAAGCAATACTGCATACCTTTAATTTAAATAGAAACTATGTCAGATCGGAAAGAAAATATACTTTTTTGTAACCTTAACGGCATAGAAGATGAATATCAATTTGTTCAAATTTGTCCCATTTACACAAATATAGGAAAATGGTGTATACTATTACTATATGCATCCTAGAAATTTTAAATTTATTGATCTTTAAACAAATGTAAATATCAATACTTTGAAAAAATAGCATAGCTTGTAATAAATTATTATTTTCAGAAATTGAATATATGAATAATGTGTATGAGTGATAAAACCTAATGTTAAATGTTATGCTTGTATTTTTCCTCTCGATGTGTTCAATCTATGTTGTTTATATGTTTGTTTGTTTTTTTGGTTTTACGTCACACCGACATAGTATAGATAACGTTCCAGCTTTACTGGTGGAGCAATACCTCGGGTGCTCTTCCGTACATTATTTCAGACGCAAACGGGCACCTGAGTAAAACCACTGACTTTCCGTATGCTAGCTGTTTATATGTGTAATGACAAAGAACTATTATTTTCAAGTCATATTTTATACTAAAATCTGTTTTGTTCTGTCATGAATAAGATTTTGCTTTTCAATACTTGTACGGATGTATTAGGGTTACGCCGCAGTAAAATATTCTGTTTCATTTACTTGCCAATAAGTGCATCCTAGATAACGTCTTTTGTTTCAGTCTTTTTTTTGTTATACCGTACCTTTAAAGTGTTTCCTAAATCATTTATTTAGGGTTCGCATCACACGTTTAGGATTTTACGCAGAAGATGAATTAATAATATTGTCTACATGTTACATATATCTTTTATTAAAACAAAAGTCTAATTGTATCCCTTTGATTCATTTCTTCTACTAAGGTCAACACTTTTGTACGGCAAAAAATTGAGATATACTATAGTGGGCAACATTGAACTTGGAATGAAATCTGCTTGGGGTACACTTCATCAAACAATTTTTTCAGACGACATTAAAGGAATTGTGGTATTTCAAGTAAATATTTTTTTAGTATAATTTGTTTTGTCTCAATCAACATTTTCAATACTAGTATAAGGTTCTATGACGTTGTGGAGTTATCTTGTTTTGACATTTCTGTGCTGTAGAAACAAATATATATTTTGCATCTTCAAACAACATTTTCTCCGTTAATGAATATTGGACTGTAGTTGCTGTCAGTAAAAATTATAACAGAAAGAATATACGATTATAAATACATTCCTATGAACATGATAATGAACTATATTAGCTCTAAATCTATGAGTGTTTTATGTATAATTTTTAGCCTTAAATGCAAACTTTTCTATTTATTGGCTCTAAACAGTGAGGTTTTCTAATTTATTGGCTTTGAACGTTATAAGCTTAATTTGTACTTTCTCTAATCATTGTGAGCTTTTTTATAAATGGCTGTAAACATTTTAAGCTTCATTATCCCTCACCTATACGATAAAAAATGAAAATGTAGAAATTGACTCTGTCCATCTGTTCGACTGCCTTTCTGTACGTCCATAAATATGCTATTTATCGAAGGGATTTGAAATAACTTGGCACAAATGTTTTTTTTTTAATAAGACAATGTGGCATGCACAGTACAATGTCAAGGTCACACTTGGTGGTTAAATGTAAACATCGTCTGTTGGAGAATATACGTCGTGTCCGGTATTACTTTTTCATCCGTCAAGGGATTTGAAAAAATACTTTGGACAAATGTTTAAAATAATTAAACATGTCGTGCGCAACACCAAGACGCTTACTTTCCAGGTCAAGGAAACACCTGAATGTCAAAGCTTAACATGCTCTTTTACAGGGTATAGCTTGTGTCCGGTCTATAACTTTTTCATAGATCAATTGCTTTTGAATTGTTTTTGGCACAAATCTGCATAATAATAAAACGATGCTTTATACGCAACACTAAGACCCCTACCTACAAGATCAAGGTCACACTTTAAGTTAAGCTCAACATGGTCTATTATAGTGTATATTTTGTGTACGGTCCATTGTTTATTCATCGATCAGGGGATTTTGAAATTACTTGGCATAAATTTCACAAACAAAAATGAAACAACATGCAGTGCGCAACACCAAGACGCCTATGCTTAAGGTCAAGGCTACACTTGGAGGTATACACTTAAAATGATCTGTTATATCGTATATGTGCCGTCAATAAAGAGATTCCGAAATTACTTTGCATAAATGTTCTAAATGATAAGACGACATGTCATGTGCAACACGCCAGACCCCTACAAAGGTCAATGTCAAACTTTGAGGTCGAAGCCGTACATGGTCTTTTACGGGGTATGATGCAAAGTCAGGTCCAAGTAAGTAAACTGTCATTGGTGAATGACCGACATATCTTGATTAATGAAAAAGTCACGGACCGAACAAGAAATATACCCGGTAACAGACCATACCCTATACTGATTTTGTATCTCGCACATCATGTGGTTTTGAAAGGTGATAACAATTTTTCAAATAGATTTCTGTAGGAGTTATCTAATGAAATTATTGTTGCGTGTGCAGATCTAGCATTGATCACGATTTTGCGCTGCATGTCAAGATCCAGACCTCAATTTTTGAAATACCACAATTATGTGCTTCATGCAAAACTGCCCGTAAACAGGGGACTATGGTAACTCTATGAAATATTCTTGTTGGATTTAAACATTGTGGGCTTTTTATGTATTGACTTTACTTATTTTTCCTTCTCAACATTGTGAGCTATTAATCTGTTGGCTCTAAACATTCTGAGTTTCCTTTTGTATTGACTCTTAAAATTGTGAATCTTTTAACAGCCAGGCCCAATGCTCATGTGATAAAACGTAACCCCAGCAATAACTCTGTAAGGGCTTTTTATTTTGAATTTGAAGTAAAATTAGAATTATACATATTTTATATGCATATATGTTTATTTTTCAGCTATGTTTTGGATTGCTTCTCACCGCTTATGTTTTGACATTCTTCAGACTGACAACCCTCATGGCTATAGGTAAGAACTACCAATTGCGTTTGTAACAAATAGAAATAAACAATAACAAAAATACATTTACATAAAAATATTTGAATACAAATATTTTTATTAAGTTTCAAATACGTTTTTTTATATACTGATTACACAAACACAGTGTCACTGGCTTATAAAATTATAATTTAGTGACGCCTTCTCTAGATATTTTTCTCAGCCTTTTACATTCTGTCTTTCTAAATTAAATTTGTCATGATGATTCACTTTAAGGGTATTTAGATGAAAATTAAAATTCAGTCAGGCAATATTATTACTCGCTTTGACAAACTACAGGTTATCCTGGCTAGCCTGGCTCTATTTTGGTGTCACATGTCTATCATTTTCAAGTTTTTTTTCAGAATTAGGGTAAACGTGACTGATAACTAAATGTATCAGATCTGTAACAATACACTTATGTGAGTTTACACAAAGTCGTCACAATCTTAACTTTGTTCACCCGAACCGTTCAAATATGAATACAATTACAAACATAAACATTTGTCTCCGATACCTTTTAATTTACCATGTCTTCAATCAGCTTGTTCGTAATGATTCTGTTTAAAACAACTTTTATCCTGGTAACACCTGCAACAAATCTTGTCAGCATATATAGGGCAGAATATGTCATTTCATGTAGTTATTGCAAAAGTGATCTTGGCAAATATATATATTGAATGCAATGTATAATAAGCCCATGGATCCGGAAATTTAGGAATCTCTCAGTCAGTGACGTTTTTTGTTTGACAATTTAATTACATGTTAAAATTTGATTTTGTTTGACATGGTTAAGACGGATATACCTCAAAAGTACGTCATATTAAATTAACATTCAATTGTAAAACAGGAACATATGCCATACATAACATAACCTTGTTTGCCCGTACATTGCATGATTCTCTGATTATTTATCTTGTTCATGTTACATTATTGTTTACCTGCGCGTCCCCTTCCACCCCATCCCCCCTTTCCGATCTTAATTTTCGTATTCTTCATAAGGAATGTTACGCCTATAGTACATGTATTTATTTTGTATGGTAATACATATAGCTTGATTGTCTATTTATCGTCTATCTGTAGGTTTCTCTTGTTCTTAATTTTAAGTCTCACACATACAAATACAAATAAATACCAAGTTATGGACCCACGGACGTTTTTTTTTCAGTTACATTGGCAGTTTTTATCATACCTAAAACATACAAACGACACGAAAGTAGATTTGAGAGAGTTGCAAGCATTTTTAAGAGGTAATTATACACTTCTATCGAAGTCATATCAATAATTATTTAACAAAGCTGAGTACGCAATAAAGCAATATAATTACTACTCACACCACATATTTTATTGTCAGGAGCGATCAAATACTAAAACATGTTCCATTCAATTTAATAACTATGTAGTGTATTTTTTATAATAACTTTTCAACTTGTGTACTATTTGAAAAATATTTCATAACATTAACGTTTATAAAAACAACTTTAGATAATTTGTTTTAAAAACAATTTGTCACTAACCTAACTGTTAGTATGGAGGAAATAGTATTCTGCTAACCAATTTTTTAATTTTAAGAAACTGTACTTAAAAGCTGAATCTGCAATAAAGCAATATAATTACTTCTCAGGCCGCATATAACATTGTCTGGAGAGATCAAATACTAAAACAATTTTCAATTTAATAACTATGTAGTTTACTTTTTGAATATAACTACTCAACTGGCGTGCCATTTGAGAAATATTTCATTACGTAATAGAAAGAGCACCGAAACACGAGGTTATCTGATTTGTACGAGGGGGCGTAGCCCCCGAGTATTAATCAGATTACCGAGTGTTTTGATGTTCTTTCTCTTTTGTATCATAGTCAAACATAAAAACACGTTCCCTGTTGTCACAATATGAAACCCCGGCAAAAATGAACCAATGAACGAACATCTGAATATGATATTTCTGTCGCTTTCCCTTTCTCTGCCGTCACAATATGTAAACCCCAGCAAAAATGAGCCAATCAATGGGCATGCTCTGGAGTGCGGGTAAGTAATACCCGCACTCCAGTTAACGCACTGTGCATGTATATCTATACGATTTAACCCTGACACATATTCAACAGAAAGGTCTCCAAACTATGATACAAATTACTGTTTTAAACAACTCTTGATAATTAGTCTTATAAAACAACTTGTTACTTACTTAACTGTTAGTATGAAGGTAATATAGGTATTGTGCTAACCCATTGTTAAATTTTGAGAAGAAACTGTACTTAAAAGCGCTATATTTGATTTTTTTTTTCAAATACAATTTGGCTTAGATATTTCCTTTGTGTATCTAGTTGTCACTATTTTCCTTATTTGTATGCACACTTGCATACGAATTCAGAAAATGAGGTGAGAGATAATTTGTGTACTCTTTAGTCATATATATCAAAATAATGTGAAAACCGCTAACATAAAACGTAGGTTTTGTCTTTCTAATTGTAGGATAATCCGTATCTTAGCAGATTTATGTCACCTTTTATAATCTCTTTGCAATTTTAGGCTGTCAAGAAAATTACGGAATCAGCCAGATGAACTTCATGAAGAATAACGATGTCTCTTGAATACAATAATATACAAAATATATATAGACCTTTTTACAATACGATATTTCCAGGGAAACGGAAGACAAAGGTCTATAACAATTATAGTTTGATATGCTAATACGACATCGATTTTATTTAAGGCGTACAGCTGTCTTCAACTGTTAGGAATGTGCATTAATTAATCTGCTCACATTCGCTCACAAGATTTCAATAGAAATACATATTTAGTATATGTGATAATATAACCAAAGTCCGTTTTGTAATTCTGCTTAAGCCGGTGCTAGGGGGCGTGGACGGTAACTTGCCCTTTCCAGTACCGTTCATGAACAGGCTCAATCAAACCGAGCCTGCAACATTTAACAATTTTGCCGTGCTGGGCTTTCTTTAGGGATTCTGTTTTTCTCTATTTTATTTGTAGTTTCATTTCTCACAATGGTTTCTGTTTAATATGTAATATAATCATGATTTTGCACGGTAACATATTTCCATTATTATAGTCGCTGTATTGGTTTTTTTATATCTTTTGTTATTTTTGTGTTATTTCTATTTATATGCTCATGTTTTAAAAATTTAAGAGGTTAAATGTCTCGGCTCAGCGTTTTCCCAACAAAGACCTGAAATTGAAACTGGCAGGGGAAACAAACTTAGAGTTAAACCTTTTTACGATCGTAAGTTATCTAACTGTTTTGTTTTAGAATATGAGTTTCACTTTATTCTTACATGTAACCTATATCTGTAGATTGTAAATGAATTCAGGATAAATGCATATTTATTATAAAAGCATCTGACTACAAAATCACTATCCTGCCATTAAACGAACAAATGTATCTAAAACGCAGTAAAGATGTAGATATGTAAAGATTAAGATTTATGTATGCCGTCTTTGTTTTTTTTTGTCTTTTTTGCATATCCTTTTCCTTATTGATAGGATGTAATATGTCCTGTTTGTTTATACCATAATATGATAAAATAATAGTTTGAAATGTTTAACGGTGTCACAAAATGCTTATGATCAAAATAAAAATCTTTCTTTTTGTTTATTTGCATTTCTACAAATCTTGTACATTGTAATTTTATATGTCTTTATTCTGATGCCTATGGCCCGTCCGGCTTTAAAAAAAAATGTTATATTATTTCATGCGTACTTTTTCGTAGGTACATATTGTCCAGATGTATTTATATATATATTTTTTTAGAGACAAGGCAGAGTTGTTACCTTTTATTTTCATTTTGGAATATCAAATTTATCACCTAATACGGTGAACGATAAATAAAACTCACGCGAATAATGTATTTTATAAGACTTCATAATTGTATGTACTAGTAGATAAATTAAATGATTTTATGAAATAAAAGGATACCCTAGTGAAAGTTCAAAAATATGACCCAATTTTTAAAGCCACCTTCATTTTCATTAAATCTGACAATATATTATGTATATTAATAAACCATTTTTTCAGATATACTTGTTCTTATTTTTGTGTCTATTCATTTCAAAACTATGGGTTTTCCTTACCACTTCTAAAGTAAGATGAAGATGAAATCAGTTAAGAATTAAATTACTGATGCAAATTTTTAATATTTAAGTCAATATTTTTTGCAATCAAGACGGTAAACTTTTGTTATATTTGTATTTTGTGTATAGAACATAATAAAGTTCAATGAAATAAAGCTTTAGCTGACTTTTCAAACATTGTCCATTATACATTTGATGCCTTAACCACGGTACATGGGTAAAGTTGTTTCCGAGTGTATGGTATAATGTTACATCTTATTCTCAAAGATTGCATATAAAAGTAAAACCTGTGTTATCATTCTTATAAAAATAAGTTTAATATCATTTCCAGTTTTGTAATAGGAATTAATGTTGAACTGTGATTAAGTCTTTTACAAAACAAACTGAACAAAAACTTAGAACTTGAACGATGTTATGCAGCCATTGAAATGATTAAAAAACAAGAGGAATAAACAGATTGTAATCATTTCCTGGATCGTTGTTATCCCTGCAATGCTAAATGAGTACGACTGAACGCAATCCAAAAATAATCATTCAGTAGAAGTTTCATCAGTGTTACACTTACAATTATGTATTAACCTTTTTTGTTTCATTCCATTTTTAGCTGTGTTCTACTTGGCACATCTGTTAATTAACGTGTCTTTATCATGTTTTGTTTTCGCATACATTCATCCTATATCACCTTTTTTCTGTCTACATCAGTACGAACTGCACTTTTTCGCTCATTACTCAGTCCAGTGTTTTCTTTTCGGATACCTTATGAAACTGAACATACGCTTCCAAGAGAAAACACTATAAAGCGAGTCTTTACCCTGACCAATTAAATTGTTATTCGAATATACATGTATCGCAACACAGGCACTGAAATACCTGTACGAATGAACTTACGAAATGTGATTTATAAACCTTAAAAAAACATGAATTGTTCACAGAATTATGATGATTAAACGTATATTACAATTTATCCATCCACTTGTTATGTGTGTAAGCTGTTCTCTATATAGTTGCGTTCCTTATATAAATATTGCCGGTAAGATATTTTGGTTGTAAGGGGCATCGACATTTTGATTAACACTGGCTTATCTGCATTAACACGTTTGAATTTCAAAAATGAGCCTAGTTATACATTAGCTAGATGGTCTTTAAAATAACCAGAGCCATGTTAGCATGGTCATCCCCTGCCGAATGTGTTTGGTCATTGGAAGAATGTATATGTAGTAGAGCAGAATAATTCAATTTAAAGAGGTCTTTTGGTAATGAAAACTGGTGGCTGAAGTGATTACAGATTTGAAACCTTTGTGAATACTGATGGCTGAAAATAAGAAAGGGCAATAACTGAAAAATAATGCAGAGTAGGTTATCATTATTGTGTGCTGCCCTCCTCCTGAATGAATCTATCCACCTATGAAGTTTCAAGTTGATACCTCTTACAATTTTATAGACAAGCTCAGGACAAAAAGTATGAAAAATTACAAAGGGCAATAACTCAAAACTTATAAAGGGAAGAGCTATCATTCTTGCGCACAGCATTTTTCCTTAATATGATAAATACACCTATGAAGTTTCATGTTGACATCTCGAAGACTTTTTGAATTATGCTCCATTCAGGTGAAAAATTAGGTATAAAAAATAACAAAGAGCAATACCTAAAAAACTATGAAAGGTAGAGTTATCCATATTATGCCCTGCGCACCTCCTGAGTGAGATACATCCACCTATGAAGTTTCATGTTGATATCTCAAAGGCTTTTTTAGTTATGCTCTGGACAAAATTTAAGCATGAAAAATAACAAAGGGCAATAACTGAAAAATAATGCAGGGTAGAGTTATTATTCCTGTGCACTGCATCCCTCATTAATGAGATCTATCTCCCTATGAAGTTTCAATTTGTAGTTTCAATTTGATACCTCAAATACTTTTTGAGATATGTTCGGACGGAAGTGCCAACAATTGGGGTTTATGTGCTTTTTCTTTAATCTTTATGAGGCATGTTTCCCCATAAACAAGAAACATTACCACATAAACCAGTCGGTTTATGGGATTTCCCTCTTTTCTTTTTTAAAATTATGGGCGGAATGTTTGTTTATTTGGAATTTTACGGCACGTCAACACATAGCTGGTCATATCGTGCCGAATGCTATAACATAAAAAATGACAAATTGAACCCCGACAGCGACCTTGACCTTAGTCCTAGAAACCCCAGTCTTGTTCGCGACACACCATACATCTATTGTTATTTAATATACGAAAGAAAGATTACCATCCTTCCATGCATACTGAAGTTTCAGAGCGGACACGACCACCACCTTCTATATTTATATAATATAAAAAATGACAAATTTAAACCCTCACAGTGACCTTGACCCTAGTCGTAGGAACCCGAGTCTTGTTTGCGACACATCATACATCTATGGTTATTTCATATGTGAAATTATCGGGGGCATAAAAATAAATTAGTTTGAACCCCAACTGTGACCTTGACGTTAGTCGTAGGAACCCAAGTCTTGTTCGCGACACACCATACATATATGGTCATTTCATATGTGAAAGAAAAATTAAAATCCTTCCACGCACACTGAAGTTTTAGAGCGGACCCGACCACCACCTTCTATATTTTATTTAACATAAAAAATTACAAAGTTTGAACCAAAACTCTGACCTTGACCTTAGTCGTAGGAACCCGAGTCTTGTTCGCGACACACCATACATCTATGGTTATTTCATATATGAAAGAAATATTATAATCCTTTCATGCAAACTGAAGTTTCAGAGCGGACACGACCACCACCTTCTATATGTATATAACATAAAAAATGAAAAAGTTTGAACCCCACTGTGACCTTGACCTTAGTCGAAGGAACCCCAGTCTTGCTCGCGACACATCATACATCTATGGTTGTTTCATATATGAAAGAAAAATTAAAATCCTTTCATGCATACTGAAGTTTCAGAGCGGTCACGACCACCACCTTCTATATTTATATAACATAAAAAAATGTCAAAGCTTGAACCCCCACAGTGATCTTAACCTTAGTCGTAGGAACCCGAGTCTTGTTCGCGACACACCTTACAGCTATGGTTATTTCATATATGAAAGAAAAATTAAAATTCTTCCATGCATACTGAAGTTTCAGAGCGGACACGACCACCACTGTCTATATGTATCAAGCGGGACGGAATGACGGACGGTTCGATTTTCATATGCCACTATGGAAAAACTCAGGTCTTGTTCACAACACATCATACATCCACCTTAAGTTATTCAATTATTAATGAAATCCTTTCATGCATAATGAAGTTTCAGGGCGGACGCAAACACCACTGTCTTAATGGGTATCAACATAAAAATCAACAAAACTTTGAATCCCAGCAGTGACCTTGACCTTAGTCGAAAAACCCATGGTCTAGTTTGTGACACATCATACATCTATGGTCATTTAATATATGAGAGAATTACAGTCCTTTAATACATTGAAGTTTCAGAGTAGACACGACAACCACCTTTTATATTTATATAACATAAAAATGACAAAGTTTGAACCCCCACAGTGACCTTTACCTAACTCATAGAAACTAGAGTCTTGTTCGCGAAACACCATACATTTATGGTTGTTTCATATATGAAAGAAAAATTAAAATCCTTTTACGCACACTGAAGTTTCAGAGCGGACACGACCACCACCACCTTCTATATTTATAGAACATAAAATATGACAAAGTTTGAAACCCCACTGTGACCTTGACCTTAGTCTTAGGAACCCGAGTCTTGTTCGCGACATACCTTACATCTATGGTTATTTCATAAATGAAAGAAAAATTAAAATCCTTCCATGCATACTGAAGTTTCAGAGCGGACACGACCACCACTGTCTATATGTATAAAGCGGGACGGAATGACGGACGGACGGACACACGGACGATTTTTATATGCCACCCTTCGGGGGCATAAAATGCGTGTGCCCTAAACATGGGCAGAACTCAACAAAATGGAATTTTGAAAGGGGATTAGAGGTTATGAAGCCTGCATATCAGAGATAAGACATCAAAAAGCAAAGTTAAAAGCAGGCAAAATATCCTCAGAGTGATTCAAAATTATTCAAGTATGAATATTGGTACAACCCAACTAGATAATGCCGAACAGTTGAAACTAAAAATACCACAATCGCAACATTAATGTCGTGCTGAACCGACAAGGAAAATAAAGATAACGATTATTTGATACTGGTGTAGGGAAGGGGTCAAAACAATTAAGTTAAAACAAAGCCAGGGGAAAATGGAAGATACATACCGTAGACGAGAATACAATAGGACACAATGGTGTCACCTTAATATGTAAAAAAAACAAATGAAATAAAAAAGAACACGTCAAAATTGAAAACGTTGCATACTCGGTTTGATTGAGTCTCTTCATGGACGGTACTGTCAAGAGCAAACTATCGACAACGCCCCCTAGCTCCGGCTTAGCTGAATTCAGCATTTAAACAAGACATTTTAAAATTATGAATTTAGAAACATCTGCAGTATGTTCATACGGCGGTTATCATGGAACCTTCAATGTGACAAAGTAGTGCCATTCCATGAAAAGTGGGGTATGATCCTCAATTAAAAATATTCGTTGCCTTTTACGAGAAAACAATGGGCGGAATTAAATAAAATGGAATTTTTAAAGATGATCAGAGGTTGTGGGACATACATCAGAGGAATACAAAGGTTATTCATGTGAAAATGTCATTTTTTCGTATGACGCAATCAAAGTGTCATCATTAATATTTGGTATCTCGTGGGAGTGCACCGGAATTTCCTGCCACGCTTTGTGATTTTAAAGTTTTTCAAAAATACTTAGTTTTGTCTAAGTTTTGAATTAAGTTTAATTTAAAACGAGAACTTTAACACATGGATTTATATCTGAAATCATTTACGTTTTCTTACTACTTTTTAAAAAAAATGATGGTAGAGCAGTCGTGGGTATTCCCGAACACTCTTGGTGAAATAAGTAGTATTCGGTTTTACACGCCGTACTCATGATTTTCAATTGACATTTGACGAGAGTTTTCATTTACATTTACTTGCAAGAAACACTTATCTACGCACACTATCTAAAGAGTT